AAAATGTGTGGGAGTAATAAGCCGTCACGGCTCAGCTGACTCCCATTTCGATTAATATCAAACTAATTTTTTATTCTTTATGTTTTAAGTTAACCCAAAATCAGTAATAAAAAAATTATTATTATTTGTTTGTTTATTTATTATTTCTAAAATTGTTTAAAATCATCAGACTGTCACATTCGAAATGATTTTAAAAATAATGAGTTTAATAAGCTGTCACAACTCAGGTAATCCCTACTCCCTCTTATTTGATATCAAATTAATTTTGAAATTTACATACCCTCGATGATCTGAATTGAATGATGTTATTTTCACGTTTAAAAGAAAATCCATAATCACCGTGTTCCTTTTGTTTTCCATTATTATGGTAATATAAATATGTTTAAGTTTTGGATTCAACATTACAATTTTGTTTCAAAAAAACTTTATTATGTTCATGAGAAGTCTTACGGAACATTAGTAATTGATATTAAGGTGGTCAGATGCAAGAGAGTTGTTGTTGCCTTTTTACTTTTAGAATTTTAAAATTTCGTTTTTTAGTAAGGATAAATAATAATAAAAAGAATGTGTCCAACTTTTCTAAGTCTGACTTATACTTTTTTTTTTCATCTCATTTGTGTACTTAGAAAGATACTTTGTAGGTTTGCTTTGTATTGTTATTATAATATATTCTTACTTTATTGATATTTGTTCAAACTATAACTTCTACTCACAGTGATCTAACTATGAAACTTAGACGTTGGAATAAAGGGAAGCAACAAAACAAAGTAATAAATTACAACGTCGTAAAGGGGCGTTTGTTACGTGAGAAATTTTTTATAATCAAGTAAATATAAATAGTGGGGAAATGGTTGTAAAAAAAAATAGGTGGGGAAATTTTAAAAATGTTATTTGGTAGACCGAAATATAACCAGGGAAATTGTGTAAAATTTACTGAGAACATGTTTGGTTGAAAATAAAAGATTGACGGGGAAATATGAAAAAATTTTCCAATTACCCCTCAATATTAAAATAAAACTCGGTACAAGAGAGACGTTGGACACGTGACGGAAGCAACGTTCTTCTTCGTCCTTCATATTTGTGTTTCTGTGCATAACATTTCGAAAACAGCCTTCATCACTCCAGCACCGTCCAGTATCGGTCTGATCGGAAAAATCTCCACCGACATTAAAGCTTAGACAACAGGATCGAGTAGTGTGCTGCCATCAAAAGTGAGTTATTCTGAAAACATCCTTGATGCATAGAGTTAATTTGTTTTTGGTTTTGAGGTGGGGTTCGACAGTTGCTTCGCCTGTGTGTTATATTTTTTATGGTGGGGGGTGGGAATTGAAAGTGGTTTAATTTGTATGGTTTAGGGTTTGTAATGGTTGAATCCTATAAGTGGATATAAAATTCGAAACCATTTTGTATGTGCATTTAATCCGTAATACTTTTATATAAAAAAAAAACATTACCTTCTCCTACCCATATGGCCACCTGCAACAGTGATGCATCGGAAGATGTTCCCTTGTGTATGGTGTTGGGTATGGCAGTGCTTAAGGTGGAGAATCGAAACACTTGTACAAGCTGTGAAAATATGTTTGTTTAGGGTGTTGATGAGCTTCAATTTATGGAGCCACTTATTTAAATACGTGCTGAATCATTAGTAACCTTTTGTTAAAATCTCCTTCTACCATATTTAAGTATGACTTGTCCACAGGGCAGTGAACTACATTGGTGGGAGTTGTGCAAACGATAAGACAGTTAATTGAAGGAGACATGGGTGGATGTGGGTCAGGAGTAGGTGGGTCGGAAAGCATTATTTCTAAGCATTCGTCATCGTGGTCCCCATCGACGGGGAAGGTATGCTACTGTGGAGTGCCGGCTGCGTTGGGAACTTCGCACACGACAAGAAATCCGGGAAGGCAGTTTTTCGGATGTGCTAATTGCAGAACCAATCAAAAGTATCATTTCTTTGAATGGTTTGAAGAACCAACATGCCGTAATTGTGTTTCTAAAGACAAATTGTTGAATAGATTAGTACTTTTGGTTGTTGTAATTGTAATAACATTTGGGTTGATCATGAGGGAAATGTTTAAGTATCTTCATGACTAGTTTAGTGACTGTAAACATGGGACTATTGTGTATTTCGTATTAGTAGGGTTTAGAGTTTGTGATCTTTAAATGTACTGAACTGTGGACATGTCTTAGACTTTTATCTGTAATGTTGAGACTTTTATTTACGTTTCTTTGTGTTTATCTCTTTCTCTGTGTTTATGTTCCTATTTTTGTATCCTTGTGTCTCTTTGTTTATACACCTGTCTATCTGCCCAAGGTATGATCTTACTTGGGTGATTGACATTTTCTATCATGTTGTATTAGATTTGGTTTGTTTCTTTGATGTAACTTAAGTTCTATTATATGGATTCTGGTGTGGCAGTGAATGGAAATTCAGGAATGAAGAAACATGTATGACTACAGGTAGCCATTGAATTGTTGATAGGCTTAACAGTCAAGTTTAGTTATGGCAACTAATGATGTGACATAGCAAATCTGCTATACCATTACAGATGATGAGTGTGAATGCATGTTGCTTCTGTTTATAACCAAGTCCAATGCTTCTGTTTCAGATAGTGCGGTAACAGCATCATGCAAGAAATCATAGGAAATAATGTAGGTGTCAGTCCAAGGAAATTCGAAGAATCAAATATTTGAAGCATAGAACCAGTTTGAGAACTTCACCTAGGGTGTTAATGAGGAGTGGCCTAGGAGACCTCACTTGGTTATGAAGAAATAGCTCAATGAGTGTGGATCCAGAGCTATGATCTCTATATCCAACCAGGTAGCCATTTGGTTGTTGTGTTGATGCTGATATATCTTTATTGTATGGAATTGTTCCTGTTTTAGTTGATTGAGTACTATCTGGACTATAGAAATGTCCATTATTGGAAGTCTATGTTTGCTTACCAGTACCTTCAAATTATCAGATGGAGAAGCTTTGAGATAACATGGTTTTTTTTATGGTTGGATTCCTCTAACTTTGGTAATGTTCTTACTGATATTTGACTTTTGTGATATGATTCTTGCTGCCATTAGATTGTTGTCATGATTATGCATGTCAAGAAGCCAATACAATCATCATATATAGGTCTAGAAAACTGAAAGGTTCAAAATTTGGTGTTCTGTCCTCTGCTCCAAGCACAGTATGCATATACATGTAAATTTGGACTTGTACTTTTGCAGGATCAGTAGCAGTTTCTTTGTCTCTCTCTGTTTTCCACCACTAGCTATGGACCAGTTATTAAGGAGTTTTCCATCGATTATCTGATAATTCGGTTTTCTGGTTTGGCCATTAATAGATATTGATGTACATCAACTTAAATGGACCAATTCCATGATCTTCATCCTAAACCCACACATCGTGGAAATGTATGGAAGCCCCTTTGCAGTTGTGAAGTCATTAGGAGCATGGCAACGAATATGCAAGCAGGATGGCTGCTAAACCAGGACACTGCATCATAATTTGAGGGTTTCAATCACTATTACAGAACTCCAGGACTAAATCCACTGCTACAATGATGAGGGATTGGGGAGAGACAAATTGGATAGATGATGAGCTCATCACCCCAACAACTTAATTATTCCATTTAATTTTCAGTTTCAGTGAAGAGCATGTAATGGTCAAACAGTTTATTAATGTTACAAATTAGTCATCAAGGAAGCCATATTTGTAATTTTTCTTTTCTTATCATACATTGTATGGTTGACAGAATAAAAAGTTGTTAGAAATTGATGTAAGTTACTTTTGTAGTATTAGCAAACTTCTCTATAAGTCGATGTTCATTATACAGTAGAAAATGGCAGAAGTGACCATTTAATTGATGCTTCCCATGATACAATAAGTATAAGCAAATGTATCCAATCACAAAATACAATTAAAAAATAGAGTAATGGATCCTCTGTCATTGTCAAATATTACAATGGATTGTAAATTAAAACAAACAACATGGCTAAACCATGACACAATTTTAACAGTAATAACACACATCTAATACTTATTGCTTTGTACCTAAATGAAAACAAAAAAAAGTGTGGCATTTATGCAAATTCTCTTGCTGCCATCTAATAAGCGACACACAGCCCAGCCAAAATACAACAATACTGACATTCTAATATACAAGCATCTGCTGCTCCAAGTGTCCTCTACATTGTCCAACCAATCCTTCAACTGTCCTTTGCATTCAATCATCTTGACATCCACATAAACATCTGTTGGCTCAGTCATGGAGTTAAAAAAGGATCACGTAAAGAAGCTATCCCTGCTGTGAACAAACAGCCATAATCCAAAAACATATCAATGAACAAACAACCATAAAAATTACGAGAAATCCATCATATATAAAGTTGATCAGTTACAAGCATAGAACTCAGGTAACAGTGCCGGATTCATATATGATTACAAGTTAGCTACACACAAAAAAGGACTTTAACTACACAGGTACAAGTCAGATAGGCAGCCAAATGGCACATTTACACAATTATATTACATACAAAAAAAGGATTAACCTACACAGTACAAGACAACATATATGCTATACTTAGGCTGCCTACAACTGTTGTAATATTAACAGTATGCCCTGAGCCAATCACAAAAAATTATCATGCAGGTCCAAAAAATATCATGGTTTAAAAACAGCATGGCTAACTATGCAGCACATCCAAAAAGAGTCTTCTGTTGACATTCACTGCTGGTTGGCCAACATCCCAGCCACCAATACTCTTCTTTTATTTTCATTGAATTGCATGAAGACATCCGTCAGATTGCTATCCCTTCCCAATTGCACAGCAACCTGAACCATTTTGTGACTCTGTCAAATCTTCAAATTTCTCCAACTCTGTCACAATTGACATTCGCCTGTGGTTACCCTCAGCTTGATGTTGAAAGCAAGCTACCAAGTTGTCTATACTTGCAGTGGACTTCCTGTAATGCTGACTAAGATCTTTCATAACATCAACTACCTCTACAACCATTGGATCTTCACTTCTTTGTCGTTTTTTTCCTTCCTTGCAGTAGCAGTTGACACTGGAGATGGTGGGGAGACCTCATCGGCTGCGATGTCTGGCATTGTAGTATCGACACACGGTGTGGGTATATAGTCCCCAGTAAGGTCCAGATAGTCTTGAAAGGCAATCCCACTCTCTGCATTCAAAGTGGCCTCTCGCTCCAAACCTACAATAGATTCTGGAGCTTCCTCTGCATTAACTCCGGATGCAACATCTTTTCCGAAGACTGTACCTAAACTGTCATAGTGGGGGAATGACTTATTGAAAAGCCCTTTTGCACTTGGGTGGCTCTGCAGTAACATATTAAGGACAAGTGGTTAATGTCAAATAACATAAATTTGTGTATCAGATTTACATAAAAGATAAAAATAAAAATACAAACTCCATTTTACTAACCTTAACCCAATCATCGAATACTTCCCTCCCCACATCTATCATTTTCTTTGCATCATTCCACCCAAACCCGCTCCCACTGGTATGCCCTACCATTTCAGCAATGGCGTTGTAGTGTTTTTTTAACAACTTAACCCGTGATGTGATGTGAGGAATACCTCTGAGTGTGCATCCAGGTATCCTTTGGTGCATGAGCTTCTCTATTGCAAGCGAAAATCCAGGATTGAATCCATTTTCCCCTTTCCAACTTGACCCAATGTCAATGAGACACTCAACAAGGACTTTGTCCTCATCCGCAGTCCACGTACGATTAGGATGTTTCGTTGACGGCTGGTTGTCTTGTGCCATGATGTTGAGAGTCTCAAGTGAAATCTGCTATATGAGAGAAAATTGCTGACAAATGGTAGGTGAAAAAAACTGTTAGATAAAACTGCATGTTAGACTTTACCAGTCAATCATGGATGTTGCTGTATAATTAACGTGAACAGGAATATAACAAGTGGATAAATAATTTAACACTGAATGAAGATTAAACATTAAATGCCAATTCAACCGAAATAGTCAACTGGTCCAACAATTTACTTAAAGTTTAACTCGTACTAAAAACAAACATAAATAGAAAATACAATGACCGAGAGTAAATTCCATTTTCAAGCACGCCTTATCCACGCGTTAAACATCTGTTGCACCATATCGTCCCTCCGAAGTGACCATGCATTTGATGACTCCACATGAGTGATCAAATCGGTTGCTGCCATATCCTCTTCAACATGTGCATTTTCCACTTCACGTTCCTCTAAAGGGTCAAATGCCATTTCTCTTCTGATATGGTTATGAAGCAAGCAACATGCAGTGATAATCCTCACTTGCGTCTTAACAGGATAAAATGACTTCAACCTCACTATCGCCCAACGCCCCTTCAGCATCCCAAAACAACGTTCTATGACATTCCTTGCCGACGAGTGTTTCATGTTAAAAAATTCCTGCGGTGTTCTTAGTTATGCCCCATTTCTCCACTCACTGAGATGATATCTTTGCCCTCTATATGGTGTAAGGAATCCTTCCCCATTCATGTACCCAGCATCGCACAAGTAATAGTAACCTGAAGCAAAAAAACATGCCAACCATATTTACACATCACATTTCATATACCTGTCAAGTTAAATGCATAGGAAATACAATAAATATAATTGTTAAAAGATTAATAACCTTTTGGCACCCTTAAACCATTATTACGAGATATGGCATCTCTGAGGACCCTTGAATCTGCAGCTGATCCTTCCCATCCAGGCAGTACATAAATAAACTGACCATCTTGTGAACAAACCCCCAAGACATTGGTAGCTATTTCTCCCTTCCGAATGCGGTATCTAGCCTTATCAGCTAGTAAAGGATTAACCTTTATGTGTGTCCCATCAAGAGCTCCCAAACAATTCTGTCAAATTCCAACCAAAAAAATACACATAGCAGGTAAGAGTTGCATTGACATCAATTTCAACAATAATATTAAGGAACACTTGTGATCATGTATGTTAAAATTACCTTGAACCACTTCCACCTTTCGTCCGTCAAGTTCTCAGGGACTTGCTCAGGTCGTTTGAATAAAACTGTATGACACCGTAACACAACCAACAACACATGGGTGAACTGCCTGCTAATTGTTTCACCGGACCTCATGAATTGCCTTTTAATTATCCTATTCTTAACATCATGAGCCAAAATATGGAGAAACATTGCTACCATCTCTTCTACACCCATATGCTTCGTCGGTTCAAGCCCACCAATACTTTTGACTAACTCACATAATTTAAAAAAAGTCCTTCTGTTCATCCTTGTATTCTCTATACAAGCAGTGTCACTTAAATGAACAATTCTATGGAAATTTACTTCCCTTGTCCTAGCCCTGCTACAAAAATCCCATGTTACCCTCCTCGTCCTTTGATTTCTCCGTTTTAAAAGATCGCGTAACAACAAACCACACAGACTGACTAACAACATTGTCATTTGATTCATACACTGCAAATGAGTGATGAGTACAACAATGACACTTAACTCCATTCCATTGTTCATTGCCATAAGCTAACACAAATAACGACAACACAATTCAGTTTACAATCATAAACAACATATCACAATCCAAATAATCCAAATAATTCAGTTTCAGTTTATCTTTAACGTGCTAAATAGATCTTTCGTGCAAGTGTAATTGACCTTATCATTGTACAAGACAGATTCAATTATGTTTCATTCCCTAAAAACATTTGGCGCCTGAAGCATGGATCATGTATTTATTTTATGGGACTTTCAAATAAAAATGAAGATATTAAATCATGCCAAACTATTGCACAACTATTTCTAAAGTAATACACAAAATGCATGTACTAAATCCTCAGCTTCTGGTCTACACTTATATTTAGGAATAATAACCATGTACACCATCAAAAATTGTACTCCTTTGAAGCCTACTAGCTGCTATTTTTTTATTCCAAAGTTGCAGTCATACCATAATAACATACATAGAAGCATTCATTGAGTGGTTAGGCAATTAATTATATGAATATCCACCCACGGATTAGGCACTGAACTGTGTTTAAAAAAATTAAAGTTAACATTAACGTTGTTTGAGCTTAAGCCAGGCAGAGTGAGAACAGAATAGTTAGTATCGTGTATTTACAGAAACGTAAAAATGTTAACATGAAATCCATTGTTTCGAATCAATGAGTGTGGATGGAAGAACTTACCGGAAGGGTATGGAACAGACGGGGACAAAAATCAGTGGTCTATGAAGAGGATGTCTTAGATCCAACTCAGATACACCAACGTAAAAATCCTCACTTCTTCTTCATCTACAAAGCCGTCATCGTGCTGTGTTAACTCTGTCCTTCACCGTCGATGTGCTGCTACCTGGAACACGGACAACTTAGATCAAAAACTAACATTTCGTACATCATTTTTGTCAAAAGAAAAAACAAATACATGATGCGTGAGAGTTTTATTCCATCACATGCCACCGCATGCAATGACTTTGTTGAACTAATACCAGGGTTTAGATTGACGATGAACCAGATGAAATCAATCCACAGTGTCTACAACCACTTCCATGAAATGGGTCTGTTTCAGTAGGGAAGTCCATTTCATAGTTCAGAAATGTCTTCTTCTTCTGCGTAAAATAACCACCACACAGAGGAGAGAGGATTTTAATACTCTTATGATATCAGGGGCATTTGGGTAAGAAAACGCGCGCCAAAATTTTAGCTTCCCCGGTTCTCTCTAAATACCGCCTCTCAGCAAGGATTTGCAAATAGTGATTTGCTGATTAAAATGCACACAAGCCACCGATTCATGGGGAAACAGCTTCCCTGGTTCTTTTTTTCAAAGTCTTCTACCAAACGAGGCTGTCTGCAAAAACCCACCTCACTTATCCATCATTCTCCCTAAAAACCACCTACCAAACACCCTGGCACCCTTTAAACCCTTGAACATGGTTTCGGCTAACACAGAAGAAGTGGTAACCGATGGCATTTACTTTTCTTCTAAATCTTGAAATCCCATTTTTTGGCACTATATTGATTATTTTGCCTCCTACTCCTCAGTACTGAATATCATTTAAACAAATAACCCCCTCATGCACCAGTTATCATTGAAATGAATAGATACCATTAAAGTGTCATTCAATAATTATTGTCTTAAAAAACTAAGCGAGATGCCCATCCATATATTCAACATACAGAAACATTATATCACATGTTAATGAATGAATATTTGAAGAGGGTTGTTGATATGCATTCAGCATATGGGTAAAACTAAGCCAAAAAGAGAAAGAATATTGATTAAATCTTAAGCAAAAAGGCAATAATGACTATTGATCTATTAAAATCTCAATCAGAGATTGCACAACTGATTTTGTGTTGATTTTGTAGGAAAAACAAACAAACTGGAGCTAAAAAGGAAAATGCAAAAACTGAAGCCCACGCTGAAAGCATGGGAATGACGCTGATAGCTTGAAAGGAGATTTTCACACAGAAACTACCACGCTACTAGCGTGGGACTGACGCTAGCAGCGCCATAGATCCAAATCAAGCAGAGCCTACCACGCTACTAGCGTGGGATTGACGCTAGTAGCGCCAGACTTTTCACAAACCCACGCTTGAAGCGTGGCAACCACGCTAGTTGCGTGGAGCTCCAAGATTCTTCACAAAAACTCCCACGCTCACAGCGTGGGAACCACACTAGTGGCGTGGGAGGTGCATCAATCAACATTAAATCTGTTTTAAATCAGAGACAGATCACACTGAGATTACGACAAGGATTCAATCAAGATTCTACACCAGGTCAAGGACTCTATAAAAAAAGGGACTCATACCTCAATAGAAAAACACTTTTGCACAGAGAGGAAGACGGAGGCAGAACGCAGAGCAAGCTTCTTCTTCAATTTTCTGGTTTTATTATTTTATTTTTTCCTTTGAATATTTTGAATTGTCAGACATGAATATGTCTGGCTAGTCTTTTATTATTGTGGTAAGGGTCACAACCCTTGATGTGAACCCCTTGTAGTTTGGTTAAATTTATATTTAATTATTTCAAATTGCATTTATTTTATCCTGTTCTTCATCTTTTAATTCTTTTAGAATTGATCACTGATAAACCTTTAGTTTATCTTATTTTATAGACTAAATTAATATAAAATATCAAGTTAAATAAGTCAAAAACTAGGGTTTAATATAATAATCATGAACATTATCTGAATTTTTGTTTAATGGAATCATCTTTGCTATTTTTTAGGGATTTGTTGACAAAAGGAGTCAAAGATGAAGATTGGATAAATAGAGATCACAACTAGAAAAGATGAGATCAAGAGATGATAGAAGAAGATCAAAAACAATAAGATTGAAGATCTTATCAAGTTGTTAGAAGTGGGAGCTTAAGCCCCCATTCAGAAGCTTAAGCTCCCTAAAAACGCAAATAGCTACTGCCTCTGGGCGCTTAAGCTCTCAACTCAGGGCTTAAGCGCGCCACAAGAAGAAAAAGTTGTCGCGAGGAGCGCGCTTAAGCGCCCTTCAGAGCGCTTCAGCGCGCAACGCGAATCAGAATTCACTGTCCTAGGGCGCTTAAGCGCGCTACAACAGGCTTAAGCGCCCAGACAGATCCAACTTAGGCCCATTCGAGTTTTCTACTATGATACAAACTCTTGGCCAATAAAAAAACCATTGGGGACCAGAAATACATAACTTTTACATTTCTAAACAACTCTTGGGTGCTCGGAGGCTGAAGGAACGCGGAGGAACATCAGATTCATGTTCGTGAGGGGCGGAGACGGATTAACGTCAAGTGTTCACTGGAGATATTGA